TAATTTTGTCTAAGAACAAGAAGGAAGAAATTTGCATCCACATATATTTTAAAGTATCAACTGGTGGCTTTGCCATGACAGTCCATCATTTTAGGAGTGAAAGATTCATAGAGGCATTTCAACATCTCCCTGACCACCATCGTGTGATGCACTAGCATCAGGAATCGAACCCAGAACATGTTATGTGGAATATGAGTCTGAAATTCATCCTCGACCACTGGACCACCCTTGATGGCTTACATATATAATTTGGGAAATCATTTATATAACACTTAGGCAACATTTATATAAATATAATTAATGTTTCAGTCTGCACTATAATAAGACGTCTATGATGTAATTATCAACATGGGTAAAGTAATGCAATCACGTCGAAGAATAATAACTTATCTTGACAGTGTAATTGGACATCTACAACGTAACTACCAACCATTTTTTTAATACATTCAATATTATCGACACTAATTAAGGGTTGTGGGAATAGGTTAAATTTCACAATAGGCTGACCATAATAATTTGTTTCAAATGCGCCTTTGGCTAAAATCAAACCTAAAACCTCTCACTTACAAGTAAATAGTACTAAGTGGCAACCTATAATCATAACTACCAACCATGTTATAGTGATAACTAGATCATTTGTATTTCTAATTATAACCATAACTATAATCATGTTATACTATAAACGTAAGATATTATATTTGGAAGTGATTGCATTACATACATTGCCAACGTTAAATTAAATGATAACAATAATCTTTTTTTAATTAAAAGGTACTTTAGAATTTTCCTTTAAATATATCGCTACTTAATCTTGGTGCTTGCTATGAAACTAATTTTGTTGTTAACCATTTAGCTCGTTTTGCTTGGCATCGTATGGTTCGAAGAATCTCATGATTTTATCCAAATTTTTTTGTTTTAATCCAATTCCAATTAATCAAATTAAAAATCAACTATTTTGTAAATAAATAATAATAATAATAATAATAATAATAATAATAATAATAATAATAATAATAATAATAATAGTAATAGTAGTTTGTAGTTTGTACCATACTTCACCAATTCTGTAACTACCGATCACCAGTCAACTTTATACATTCAGAGACCCACTGAAGGATTCATGTTAAGGAACTTTTGCCGAAGCATAAGAGTTTCTCTCCAACTAGAGGACAAATCACAATGCGACACATGTCAATATTAGAAAAAAGCTCTTAGAGTCCCACATCAACCGCATACAAAAGTGTGTGACTCTCCTCAACTATAAAAGGAAATCATTCTCCTACAATTATTCCTAAATGTCGTTATTGTACTTCATTCATTATTAGAACTCACTAATGATGATTATGCTTAAACCTCTCTATCATGTACACTTTACATTATTAATGAGTACTCCTCTACCCTTGTGGACGTAGCCTAACTTAGGGTGAACCACCATCTTATGGTTGCTTCCCTATCCCTATACCTTTACATATTTACCTACACTTAATGATATTTCCCTATCTCTATCCTAGACAGCCTCGCATACTCTTGGTCACAAGTGTGCAAAGCAAAATCATATTATATGGTTCCTCTGAACCTTCACAATTACAAAATGTAGATAGCTTGCATACTCTTGCTCACAAGTCTGCGAAGCAAAATCATATTATATGGTTCATTCAAGCCTTCAAGAACTACAACATGTAGATAGCCTCGCACACTCTTGCTCACAAGTGTGTGAAGCAAAATTAACTTATGAGGTCCTATGTTAGCTTCCACCACCTTGGCATGAAATCAAGCTAGGTAAGTGCAAAGTTTCATACTCACGAAGGGGGGAAGCTACAAGTGTGAAGCTTCACACACCCATGTAAGAGGGGCTACAAGTGCAAAGCTCCACATATATATGAAGGGTGGAAGCCTCGCATACCTATGCAAGTGTGAAGCTTCGCATACCTTTGCTTATTACTAAACTCAATAAAATCTAGCACACTTTTGCTCAAGAGTGTGCGAAGCAAAATCCATCTATGCGGTCCATCCCACATTTTTTTTTGTTCCTAGTCCTAAAAAAATGGAAATGTTACAAAAAAAAAAAAAAAAAAAAAAAATCAAAGAAAAGAAAAGGGTAGGACTTTGGTCCCTCGGCAACTTGACAAAAATCAAGCCACCTCCTTTGGCTATCCTCCTCGCTTGGAGACTTGGGAGATAACCACTATATGCTATTACACTTGGGCACTCGGAAGCTTCGTGATAACTCACTTACTTGGGTTTTGCAAGTACCCAACTAAGAAACTTTCCTTACTCGGGAACTTGGGGAGCACTGTTTGTACTATATTTCATCAATCCTGAAAATACCGAGCACCAGTCAACTTTATACCTTCAAAGACCTGCTGAAGGATTCATGTTCAGGAACCCCTGCCGAAGTATAAGAGTTTCTCTCCAACCAGGAGGCCAATCATAACGCGAGACATGTCAACATCAGAATAAAGCTTTTTAGAGTTCCACATCAACTGAGGACGAAAGCGTGCGACTCTCCTCCACTATAATAGGAGATCATTCTTCCACAATTAATCTCTAATGCCATTATTATAATGAATTCATTATTATAACTCACTAATGATGATTATGCTTAAACCTCTCTATCATATACACTCTACATTATTAATGAGAATTCTTCTACCCTCGTGGATGTAGCCCGACTTAGGGTGAACCACATACATCTTGTGTCTGCTTCCCTATCTCTATCTTTCTACATATTTACCTACACCTAATGATCGGAGCAACCTTGTGAAGGTCACACCTTGACACTTTACATTGTTCCAAAGCCTACCTGATTTTGTACATCAACAGTAGTAGTAATAATAATAACAACAATAATAATATAATAATAATAAAATTAAATGCTGAAATGACCTTTCCTTATATTGTTTATATGTTAAAGATGTAGTAGTAAAAAATAATCTAGAAAATTATGGAGTTAGCACATGAACTTTTACCTACAAGAGATGAAAATGCCCTCATTAAATAGGCTAAGGCCCTCATCCGCTCCACATAATTCAGCAACCAAGAAGACCTGAGCTGCTAACTACAACTTCTCCAAGCTTTTTTGCACATGGCAAGGAGATAAGGCAAGGTAATTAAAGGTAGAATTAATAACTAATTCATACCTTGAGGCTTTCTTCATTGAAGGCATATTCTTTTATTCAAGGAAGCACAATTACATCCAATTGAGACTTTTCTAAGTATAATTCTTAAATACTATTATTGATTTAATAATACCCTAAGGATTATTTTCTAGTATCCTTAAGATATTCCAGCATCTTAAAGATACTTTCGTACTACATTTAAGGAGATGGCACACATTAGCCAACTAGATGTTGACCCATGGCATGACAATCCTTACACATGTGACCGACTATCTCCAAATAAATACCCCATTTTATACACTTCTCAAGTAAGTGGAAGTTACTATGCACAACTTAACCCTAAATCTCTCTTTTAAGAAAAACTAACTTAGGCATCGAAGATTCAGTAGCCAAACTCCCCCTTCAACTCTTTGGGCGTGTGGGTTTGGTCATCGATTTAAGGTATTTAATTATTTTGTATGTATAATTTTGTCAAGACTGAGACAACAAATTTTTACTACCACAAAAGACATTATATATTTACAAGCCATGAATTAAATATGGAATACAAAATTGGACTTTTATTCATGATAAAAATGGAGGGAAGTAGCTAGGCAGGGTTATGATGGGTTGTGTGGAGTGGGAAACTAGTAATGCAGAGCTGCTCCAATTGCAGTCATCTGAGAAGTAGACAGAGGCAATAATAGCTGGATTTTGTTTCTTCAATTAGAATCTAGGGCCCTTCACACTCCATTCAATGCCCCCTCTTGTGTAGAGAAATTTTTAATGTTTCAGGAAAACGATCGGTATTTCAAGTATAACAATACAATTGGTTTAGAAATTTGAAAAATAAATGAAAACTCAACTAATTATATTATGACATTTGATGTACCAAATCATGTTCTCATGACTTTGAAAAATGTCTCCTTCTATAGATACTTCTCTACTGTCAATTATTGTCTATCATTTTACTTTCTCTCTCTCTCTCTCTCTCTCTCTCTCTCAAGTAGTTATATAGATATGTATATGTATTTTTGTTTTTGTGCTAACTTCTGTATTTTCAAATTTGGTTTTTGTTTACTTTTCAACTTGGTATAATTGCTTCATGATGCTAGCAAAGTGTGCTGAGCTGAAGCCTAGAAGGACAGCCACTTATTATATATAGATATAGATAATTTCAAATTGAAACCCTTTCAGATAAAAAAATATCAACAAAAGAAGCTCCTCATGAGCACATAAAATAATATCAAACAAACCAGATGCATGCATGTGAGAAAGATTTTTGCATGCTTGAAAATGATTTCAAGCACTATAACAAGAGAAAAAAGAATTAGCAGACCAGATTACAAGTCTCTTAAATAGTGAACTGAGCAATTTCGCATGCTTGTAAACTACTTTAATCCCCAAAGACTTTCAAACGAGGCTGCAAAAGTTGTTCTGGCCAATTGGATTAACTCACATTATGCATGTGTTGTTTTACATTTCTTTTTTAGACAAGCGATATTTTATATATGAACTGGTGAACTTAGGTATTAATTAGTTAATGTAAATATTTTAGAAAGTGTTACTTATATTTATGATCCAAACAATGCGTGTTCCATTAAATTAGGTCTTTGAACAGAAATAATGTGTAAAAGGTTAGTATCTGCAAAGAAATTGTATGTTATGTGTAATTTCCCTTTTAGGACAGCAACGTTTTTGCCTAATTTGGAATCGACCAAGAAGAAGGGTAGGCACAGATTTTATCATGGCTCAAAAGCAACCGACAATTAAACCCTTCTCTCTCTCTCTCTCTCTCTCTCTCTCTCTTTCAACACACGTATCCAACACATGAAAAACTGATTAATAATTAAAATATAATGTTTGATTAATACAACTAAGAAAAGCAAAATACCAAAAAAAAAAAAAAAAAGTAGACTAATTATATATATAAAGAGAGAAAATATAAAAGAAGACTCTTATACAGTAGCTCAGATATGATGTGGGCGGCTTTGCGAATCACATACAGTTCCTCAAAAGGGGAAATAAAAAATGGGGAAGCTAACTAGCTAGGGTGAAACTAACTTAATTAGCTGTGATGATTATATATATTTAGTTAATGCACATTGCTAGTGTTAACTTTTTGTAGCAGCTGATGATATGATAGATATGATGATCATACAATAAGTGGGTCTGTTTCCAGCGCTTCCGATGATTTGACAACCTCATCATCTTCCAAGTTGGGATCCTTATGATCAGAACTTGGTGGTGGTGCGGATGATATTGGTAATATCGAAGAAGTTGTAGAAGCTGCAGAAGAAGCTTGGGTGAGATCCTTTGATCTTTTGACCTGAAGAGTCCAATCTGTTGTGCAAACGACATAGAACATGAGCAAAGCACAAGAGCCTTGAGCTGCAAGCAATCCAAGCCACAGCCCTGCAAACCCCATTTTCACCACGAACCCCATCAGCAATCGCCACCGGCATTCCCACCAAGTAAAATGACCCCAAGTTTATGTTGGCTCCAACCGTAGGTCTCGCGCTTCCCCTCAAAACACCGCAGGCGGTGGTTTGCGGGCAGTTTCCGAGCTCACACAGCCCTGTTATCGGCAATGCAATCGCCGTGAGCTTGAGTATTTCCGCGTCATTAGTGAAGAATCTCCCCCATTGGTGCCTCATCAATGTTGTGAACAACATGGCTAAAAGGCCTAAAGCCACTGCGCAAACGAGCGAGACGATCATAGAAATGCGCGCTTTTGAGGGTCGCTTAGCGCCCAATAAGTTCCCAACTCTCGTGGAGACGCCGAGGCTGAGCGACGAAGGGAACACGTAGACAAGAGAGGTGGTCTGGATTAGTATTCCCATTGAAGCAATGGTGGCTTTTGGGTTGGCTAACAGTCCGCAGAGCATTATCATGAACTCGTACCACCACCACTCGAGGCAAACAGAGATGCAGGTCGGGATAGAGAGCGCAAGCAAAGACGACCAGCCGCGGAGGCAATCAGCGCTGGGACAAACCCACGTGTCCTTGTAAACATTGGAGAAGTACGTGAAGGAAAAGAGTAGGATGAAGAGGTTGAGATTAGTCCAAACCATGGCTATGGCCACCCCGGAAATCCCCATTTGGAATTTGACAACGAGGAGGAAGTTTAGAGGGATGTGGAGGAGGACGGAGATGGCGGAGCAGTAGGTCACTGGCAATGTGATGTTTTGGGTGCGCAGATAAATTCTGAGGGGGTGGAGAAGGGAGAGAAAGAAGAGGTCAGGGAATGGAAAAGAGGGTGAAAGTGTGGGCGACGGAGGAAATCTCTTCGTCCTGGCCGCACCAGAGGAGGACTCTCTTCATGTTGAGCCACATGAAGGAGATGGGTAGGGAGGATGGAGAGGAGGAGGAGGACGGTTCTCTGAAGGGTTAGGCCGAGGAGCTTCAACTGTTTGGCGCCGTACGCTTGCCCGCAGATGGGTTCCATTCCCATGGCGAGGCCGGAGATGACGGAGTAGCCTGTGATGTTGGCAAACCCAATTGAAAGGGAGCCTCCGGCGAGCTGAAGCTCACCGAGGTATCCCAGAAAAAGCATGGAGATCATGGCTCTTGAGTAGAGAAGTAGGCCTGTCATGGTTGATGGACCTGAGATCTTCCCTATGGCCTTGAATTCTTGTACAGCCTGAAAATGCAAAAAAAAAACAGAAAGATACCAAGAATTAACACATGTTAATTAATTGTTTACTTCGAAACGCCGTCCAAACATTATTAATTAATCAAAAACAAGAAGCATATAAACTTTTTTCATATGGTTGGTTTTGTTGTATCATGAAAATGATTGTTGGGGTTTTGTTGTTAAGTACCTCGGAGAGAGTAGGCCATCTATGGAGCTCTTGATCGTCATCGTCAACAAAAACATCAGAAGAGTGAAGGTCGTCCATGGTTTTGCTGGAGGTTTTGATTAAGAGGGTTTTGTTGGTCGAGGGAAATGAGGAGGGAGAAGAAGGCTTTGGGTTGCACATGATTGATTAGCTTAATTTGCTAAAGCGAAAGCTAATGATGTTTTGGATTAAGAAAACAACAATTTTAAAGAACAAAGTGTGGGAAGAAATAGAGTTAGGAAGGACCCTGTTTTTTGTTGGGTCTTTTTGTATTTGGTTGGAGGATTTTGAATGTGAGAAGGGAAGTAGGGTGAGGAGGGTTTTATATAGACATGGAAGAAATTGGGTCCCACATTTGCTTCATGCACGTGTCAATATATCCAAGAGAGAACCCTCATAGGGAAAGTGTCCTCCCGAAAATGCTTTGAAAGGATTCATTCAGCCAGAAAGATGAAAAGGGGAAAAGATAAAACCTAAAAGAAAATGGTTCATGGGGAGGTTGTGTGGGGGCCGACCTTCCATTCGTCCCAAATTTTTACCCTCTCTCTCTCTCTCTCTCTCTCTCTCTCTCTAAATATTAGGTTAAGCCACTTCATTTTGTGTTCATATGGTGGTCTGAAAGTTTGAAAGGGTGTGGGTGGAGAAACTTCAAAAAAAAAATGAAACAAGTGAAAGCCCCGAAAGATTATTGGTCGATTTCAACCGCATAAGCAATATTCTATATTTGATTATCGGAAAATCGTAATTGTGGCCCAATTTTGGCACTTTGTCGGTAGTGGGATTAACTTGGTGTTGATGAGTTCATGGTTAAACCTTTTCGCTTAAGTAGATAATCTTTTTTAAACCCCTCCCCCCAATCTATAGCCTGCATTCGGATCTGTTTTTCTACACCAAAAAAGTAAAACAAGTTTATCTTAAATTAGGATGCCATTGCCAAGTGGAATTGGTAGTAAAAAAGCATTTTAATTTGTGAGTAGTGCTACACCGCATTTTAGTTAATTAATTTGTTGGTTGCTTGCTTGAGAAATGACAAGAGCCTATTAGTTTGTTGTGTATTGTTGCTGTCTTTGAGAATATGGGCAACAACTGGAACTGCTAGCTAACTTGTGGGCAGCAAACATGTTTGCATATTTGAACTTTTTGACAATGCATATGTCTACATCTTGGCACAAAACACGTTTAGCAACATTACCCAATCTCAGCAAAGCTCTTTGCTGTCTCTTCAACCACTTGATTAGAATAAATCAACACATCACTAGGTTGCTACTGAATAGATAGCTCAATTTGAGAGGTGCCAAAGCTTACAACCTGCTTTTGGCCCTCCCCACCCCACTTAGGAGGATTTAAAGTGAGGCATGGGTTTTGAGGTTAATCAAATATTTTAACTTGTGGTAAAGTTTGTTTCCTTTTAAAGTGGCTTTGATTTCACGATCCATTTGTTAAGATCCTAATCGTATATGGAAAATAGTAGTCACTTTACTAGTAAATAAAAACCCTCGTACTTCTGATGACCCTAACTAGGGTCACGTTTAGTGCGAGGGTCAAGATGGGATCGAGTTCAGTTATGTCTCTCAAATTCCCACATTTGTAAAGGGTACTTGTTTTTTCTAGTGTGTCGTTTAAGGGGGTTAGTCTCGTCATTATTAACTTCACCAAACATGAGATAAGACAATTGTATTTTGTTCATTGATCACTCTATTGAGAGACGTTGCTCAAAATTTGTCATGCACACTCAAACCCAAGCCAAATAGATGAGGTCGCTGGTTTGGGACGTAATTAAACAAGAAATTGAGACTTGAGACTCGCAAAAATATAAACCACCAGAAAGATTGAGTATCGAATTAAGATTTGCTTAGTTTGCTGGTAAATTGGGGCTTAACCTAATTTATCTAAACAAGTGGGATTTTGGTTTGAGGGTTTTGTCCAAGTGAGGAAAATGTGTGGCAAATCTAAACTCATCTTTTGTTGCACCATTTTTTTTCACCATTTTTTTTAATAGGGATATATATGATATGTTGATGGGTACGTTGGAGGTAGGTATTGTGTGATGGAATGGGACCACTGAGAAATGGATTGTAATGGGATGAGAGAGAGAGAGAGAGAGATGACTCTGTGTGCATGCTTGGAGAAGAGGTAGGCAGATGGGAGAAAGGGAACACTGATAGACAATTACGTGCTCCACTTACAACCGTTTAATTTGTATCCCTATTAACACAACAGAGATGAGGCTGTCTCTCTGTGGGAGAGATCCTGGCTCCTTCTTCTCTCTCTCTCTCTCTCTCTGTTTCTGCTTCTGTTTCCTGCTCTGCACCTCTGCCTCTGTGCCTGCTACCACCAGCCCAAACAAGCAGTGATACTAGCAAGTAAAACTTTTTCCCTCCTCCATTTTAAGACACGGTTACTTTAGTATCTCGAGTTACAACGTGAACGGCACATGTAATATGAGATTCACTGTTTCGGTATTTCAAATCAATCATATATTATCATACGTTTTAATTTTTTTTATATAACATTACGTAATTATGTTGGTAAATATATTAACAGAATGACAATTCCGTTGCATGAAAGTTCATCTATCCTTTTGAGTGACTCCGAAGAGGAAGAAAAGCTTAAAGAGTTGTACCCAAGAGATTTTATCGCGTCCCAGAAACCCATGACCCCCGACCTTGTCAGATACTCCATGTGTATCGAGCTCAATGAGTATTTTTCTGTAGAGACAGATGAGTTTTGAGAGGTGCGTGTCAAAAGCAACAAAACCAATGGACCAAAACGAGCGAAAAATTGAAAATTGAAATAAAAAAAATTATGCACAGATTTCCCCAACTGCTACTTTACCAATCAATCATGTCTAAAAAAGTATATATATTTTGATATTTTCCCTTACAACTAGAGTTTTTTGTCACATTCTTCTGTCACACATTTAATAATCTTTGATATAAAAAATGAAAAGGATTCACGGGTCATTATTTTTAGGGTACGTTATTCATGCACGAATGGTAATTCATACACAAAAAATAGTTTTCCTTCCAAATGCAAATGCAAAAGAAAAGAAAGAAAGAAAAAAAAGAATTCGAATTTAGCATCTTAATTGGGAAGTGGGGTCTCATTCACTCTCACCCAAAATGCAATTTCCACCGGTTTGTATCAACCCAAGTTGTTGTTATAGTGGGGGTTTTATGCTTATATGCTTGCACTCAATCCAGAATTTCAGAATTTTTTTGGGGTATCAATGACATAAATGCGCAAATGTATGATCACTCACTCACTCACTCGTAGTTGTAGATTTGATATTAGAAATAGACGTGTTGATATTTTAACCTATGGAAATCAAAACAAAATAAATAACACTATTTTAATTTGAGTCTAAGGTTCTTCAATGCTCCAGAGACTTACAAGTTCAGGTATAACTTTCCGACGAAGTTGGAATTCAAATTTGAGTTTCAATATGAGAATTGAGTTTGAGGTGGAGTGTCAAATTAGGAATAACGTTATTCAACTAAGAAAAATGAAATTTGTATTTTGAGTCCAATCATCTTCAATGGACATAACTAAATTGTTAAAACACATGTTTTGCGTCCAGTGCTTTCTCCTTCAATATAAGGACTCAAATATTAAAACTCAAGATGAGTCTTAAGATTTGAGTATTTGCATTTGAGAAAATAACCAAAATACTTATATGTAGCAACTTTTTGGGACCCAAATATAAAATGAGAAATGATAAACGTATATCAGTTTTATGCTCTCACATACTCCAATTTAATATTTTTTTTTTCCTTTTATTTACTTAATCCGATAAATAAAGAAGAGTGTGAGAAGTTATGTGAAAATTATCTCCTTACAAAAATATAAGTAGAGAATTTGAGTTCTTGCATCGAAGATACTCTCAATTTTTTGTATATCAAATAAAAAGGTGAGTGACGACAAAAAATGGAAAGGGGATCCTCTCCAAATTCTTTCCACTAAATCCACCAAATCAAGGGATCCGAACTCTTGAAATTTGATCAAACGACTAAAGTTATTATAACTTTTAAAAAGGTTTTCTATTTGTAACTGTTGAATCAAATTTCAAAAATCCCGATTCTTTGATTTGGTGGAAAGGATCCGGAGATAATCCATTTCCCGAAAAATGAAACTCCATCAACATATTATAACAAAATAAATATACAAACTCCAAGGCCTGTTTTGGGAAGAGGACATTTGCAATGACAGTACCTTTTGGGATTTGACACTAATAATAAAATAAAATAAATATTCCTCTTAAAAATACACGAACAAATTCACATATTCCCGTCCCGGCAGAAAGAGCCTTTCCCTTGCCTTTCCTGGAGAAGTCTGATATGCCTTAAATCTATCTAAAAAACAATGTGTCACTAATCTCTCTTCTACTAGTGTAAAAGCCTTGTGACATGTACTATGCATGTTTCTTCTTGTATTTCCGGAACCCACTATGTTCCCCATACCACTCAGCAAAATGAATTTTGTCGTCAATGCACGAGTGGGCAATTCTTGACTATTTAACGCACTCACGCACGAACAACTGATCCAAGCATTCTTCAATAGAAATAGTGAACGTTACCTGAGAGATTTGATTTAATTTTTTCCCTTCTTTTCTTTCCAATACTTCTAGAAGCCTGTCTAGCAAACAAGCACGGGAGGATTAAAAGCAGACAGACTTTCATAGATAGTTATTATAGCAATTAAGGCAAGAATTTATTCCAATGTCCAGACACAAAGATGAAAATAAATTTTACTTAAACTAATTAAAAAAAAAAAGCAGAAGAAAAGAGAATAAACGCAAAAGCCATCACAAGAATAAAACTTTGCAACAAAAGAGAGAACCAAAAAAAAAAAAATCAGAGAGAATAAAAAGGCATGGTCTCCATCAAGGTTTCGATCAGTACATTTCACATATTCACTGCTGGCCACCATATTCATACAACAAAATCGATGAACAAAACGCATGAGATTCCAATACCTCATAGCCGAACCACCATCGCCCAATCGAAGCTTTACCCGAAAGGAAAACATAATATTTTCATGACGAATTATTCTCTAACAGCCGCAACATCTTATCTTTGGTTGGTAGCAAACTAGTCTCGGATTAATTCCGGAATCTACAGCTGAGGAGGCTGCACCTACTTTTCCATGGCAATTTGCCACAATCCTGCAGATGGGACTGGTTTTTTCATTCAAGAAATTCTCCACTAGTTGTAGATAACTTGTCTCACCGGGCACTAACTGACTTCTATTACATCAACATATTTTCGTAGCCAGCGTCTGCGGAAAGCTATCGCTTTATGACAATCTTGTTTCCCACGACACTTTTACAAATAGCAGTGTCTAAAATCACCCATTCCACATGGATTTCCCATGTCTAAACAAATATGTGATTCCCACATAGGGATTTCACCAAGTGCCCAGCAGGAATTGAATTAATTGTAGAAACTCAGATGTATAATTTGCTGAATCGAAGCACTGCACGTGGAAATTGAGTTCAACATCCACATACTCGCTGCCAGGCCTTTAAATTATTTGAACACAAGTAACTTCAACTGATTGACTGTATAGCAAGTAACAGCTATTTACAGATTTTCACTAATTATTGAGATTTTACCATTTCGGTGACAAAAAAGTTGAGTGGAAAGTAGATACAACAAAATACCTCATGCGACAGCTCCGGGCTTAGGAGCAGCAGAACGTGGAATTGCCAAGATGGCCACCAGGCCGCTGGCTAAGGATGCAACTGCTGCCACGGCAAAGGCTGGAGCATTTCCACCACCAAATAGCTCATCCCACGGTCCACTTCCTAGTGATACGATCACCTGTTCTCAAAAAACAAATATTCATGACCAAAATCAATATAATAAAGATGATAAATGTCATTCACAGAGAAGTCCATGGGAGTTCAATCAGGTAATATTGGCTCAATACAAAACAACTATTAATGGAGTAATTGTTGATTACATGCGATATTATACACTAATCAACCACACTAAGGGGAGTGAGGAGGGTTTGAACCCGGGACGCAGTATGTTGAAGAGGAAGGCCCTAACCAACAAGGCTATCCACCACTTGCAATAATCAAGTAATTGTTATAACAAGGGAAAATAATACACAACTATGATTCTTTTCAAAGCATGCTCTTCAACTCAAGCATCGATGATTTGCATAAGGCATCAACCCATACCTGAACGGCTGAACCATCACATCCTAGTAGCAGTTTAAGGGGTTTTGTGAAACAGGGTATTGTTTCTTGGGTGGTTTCAGTAATTCGTCCCAAAATGTGATAGTAGAAAACAGTTTCGACTATGTTTCACATAATAGAACAATGGAAAGGTGCAGAGTTTAAAAGCGTTTTTTTCTTGATCGATCAATTGGTTAGTGCCTTCATGTCCCAGGTGAGGACATGCTCAACATGAATAGGCTTATTTTCATGTATACATAAATACATGGACGGTGGTGCTATGGGAAGACTAAGGCCAACAACAACTTAGTGGTAATTAGGAATTATAATCAAAACATATGACTTAAAATGAAAATTTAACCAATGATGGGACATGACAAAAGAATTAGGAAGTATATAGCCAAGCCCAAAGTTGGGACAAGGTGCAGGTGTCATATGTGCATGTATCTCTTCACTTTTGGTTGATGACTGTACAAGTGTATTATAACCTTATACCAGTAATGCATTTCGTGTTCATTTAGTTTCAACACAGAAGCGTCACATGCATTGCTAAAAGGAAATGAGTGTTCTTACCTGCGGGATTACTATTGCCAGATTCAGTACACCCATTGATAAACCTACAAGAACCAAACATCAATGTAAGAAATCCTACAGCTAAAACTCCAACTAAAACTATTTAACATTCTGTTAAAGACATTCCAACCTTGGCCAAGTCCCAAAGACTCAATTCGAGAAGAAACCAAAGCATACGGAACACTGTATGTGATCTGCAACAAATATTCCGGTAATTTAAATTCCATTCATAGACCAAGTTCACATACAAAGCATAGACATTCCTTAATAACCCGTGGTGAAAAGACCCTTCTCCAAAAACGATAAAATAACTTTCAAATCCACCCAAAGTGTTTCAAAAACAAAAGAGAAAAGTGAAGATGACTTCTCCTCAAATAAAAAATTATTACTTCATAGGTCAAATTCTTACAGAGAAGATCCCCAACTTGACACCCCCTCCCTTCCCACAGCGGCATATTTTGAGGTCAAATGGATAAGATTAACCCTTTTGTTCTGAAGTAATTTTTTATATTCTTTTGGTGTAAAATAACCATTATGGTACGCTTGATCGATCATTAGTTACCAAAAGAAAAAATTGGTCGTAAGCAACTTCCAACACTCCCTGCTCATAAAATTTAGCCCCTGTTTGCCTTTGAACAGTGAAACATACATTGCCAAATAGAAAGCATGCATCGCATTCAACCAGAGATAAAAGCTTACCGCCAATGGAATACCGAGAACTGCAAAAACAACCAGTGCAGCTATCACAACGCCATCTGGAGGTAAATCATGGTCCCCAACGCCAATACTCTTGTTCACAAATGTAATAACAAGCATTGCGAAAAAGCAGAGAGTCATGAGAATGCTTGAAATTCCCCACACAAAACCAGCCCCCCATTTCCTGCAAAGCTTCTCCATAAGCACCGAGGTTATACCAAGAATAACCGAATTCAACATCAGACCAAGAGCTCCCATTCTAACACCAGTACTATAATTTATCCCTTCATTTGGCTTGCCACCATAAATCTCTCGACCCATCCAATCAGTATCAAAGAGAAGAAATGGAAACCACCCAATCCAGTTTAGAGCAATAACAAGTAGGATTAACCATACAGACCCTGGGAAATATCTAAAAGTCCCAAACAGCTCCCAGAGAAAAGCTTCTTCAATATGACTTGACCGTCCTGGCCCTTCATCAGCAAAGGGTGTAGTTCTGTTACTTGAACCCAGAGGTGTTTCCTGAGCTGCTGATATGCTTATCCACGTAGTAATTGCAATGAAGGCAGTGTCAACGAAGAAAGCAGACTTGAGGTTTGCACAGTTAACATTGCATGCTGGGGTAATTGAAAATGGAAAAACCATGAACAAGTAACTTATTGATCCAGTTGCATATCCAAGAACATTGCCAACCGCCATAAACAGAGAGAAATAAGCGTTTGCCACTCGAGTTCTTCGATAATCCTTTTCTAGCAAGAGAGAAATTACGAAGAAAAAAAAGTGTTACTGGTTTTTATTTTGACACTTTGATCTTTCAGCGCATTTGATCTTTTCAGCGCATTGGCAGCTAACCAATGTTCCTCAAAAGAATCAACAATGTTCCATGCATCAATAACTTCTAGTTGTCTTTGAGAACTTCACATAAAAAAAGTGATTCCATAGCGATGTGGTCATTAATCTCCCTCCATTCTGTGAAATCAATAACAAATCACAATGACCTACTTTGAGGGGAAGATAATCTCTTGCAAGATAATCAAGGCGTGGTTTAGACCTCTGCCACTTTGGCATTCACTAATTACAGACACCGGCTTTCATAGCCTTTTTGGAATTATAAGACCTCTGCAAGCAATCAAAATTCTAGCATTTGCAGAAACAGTCTCTACTCAATAGTTGTTCGGGAGGTCTGTTCAATGTTCATCTCGCACGTAGGCAAATATAAATAGCTTTCTTGCTACAATAGTAGCCATTATTCTGTATTGCATTCAAACATCCATACGGACCATACCAAGTACTGACCCCTAACTTATAAAGGATCTCGAGTTCTAAACTCTCGGGTTTACTGCCGCACGCACAGCTTAACGTATTAGGGTGGATTATCAATACCAAAGTTCCAAAATTAGGAAAATGTTTACACTTTCAGTCTCCAGCAGATCATACATCACCTAATTTATGATGAGTTTTCAACAGCATTTTTCACAGAATATTAATACATATTAGAAGTTATAAACAACCACAAAATTCATCAAAATTCATCAAAATTCATTCCAAAATTGACTAGAAGTTGACTAAGGTCAATGGATTGAATTGTTCCTCACTACTACGGTATTCCTAAGAAGTGTATTGTCTGTTTGAATTTCGTTCGATACCAATTTATTCCCCTACCGCTTAATGTAAATATATTATTTGATCATAAAAAAGTTTGCAAATTGTTCAAATTGAAGGTTCATACCAGTGAGATCAGCGAGGAGAGCTCTACAAGGACCCTGAGTCACATTATTGGCCACGTCCAGAATCCAAAACCCGAACACGAACACGGCGATGGCTCTGGGCCTGACGCCGCCGCCTCTGTCGCCTAGCAACCACCCGATATCGGCGGAGAAGCCGATGATTAGAACGGAGACGGCGATACAGGCCGCTCCGACGACGATGAATGGGCGCCGACGACCGTATCGGCTTGTGCAGCGGTCGCTCATGTGGCCCACAAGGGGCTGGACCACAAGGCCCGATAAAGGCCCACAGAGCCATATGACGCTGGCCCAAGCGTGAGGGATTCCGAGCTCTTGAACGTACGGAGTCAAGAGCGAGAGCTGTAGGGCCCAACCGAATTGGATTCCACACGCGACCGATGCCACTCGGAGGAGTTGCCGGAGTGGGACTCGGGTTCGGACCGCCGGTCGAGCCCTGACCCGGTGGCGGTCTGCGTCCGGAGTTGGCATGGCGATCGTTCCCCTCTCTCTCTCTAGAACTCTCGAATATATTCCTTCCTTCTCTCTCTAGAACTGTGGGAAATGGCGCGAAGAGAGAGAAGGTGGCGGCTTTTTGTTTGGCCGCGGGAACGTCAGGTGTGAAGTCAGTGATGGGGAGACGGAAATGCCCTTGCATGTTATTTAATTTTACGAAAGTGCCCTGGAAGTGGATAAAAGCGGGAATTCAGGGGAGGTTGATGATTGGAGTTTGGAGTGGCAAATTATGATTGGAAGTGAGGGCAAAGTCGGTGTGGAATTTTGGTTTTCTGGAGGTCGACTGAGTCCGGACAAGCGGAAGGTTGCACCGAAAGGCTTAAACTGCTTCCGACATTTGCATCAGGTCAACGACACAAACGAATGCAGACCGTTGATTTGCTAGCTGTTTGATGGTGTATATTTATAAATTTTGTAGGCAAAATGGGTATATAAATTGATGTAAAAGATTACAACTAAAATGAAGAAAACTTGATCCCTTCATAAAGAATTAGACGAGTCAGACTATATTTTAAGGGCCGGTGATGATTGTCGGACTGATATTAAGGTAAAATAAATAATTATCTAAATAACGTAACAGATAAAATTACAATATCTTGTTTGTCGAAAGTAATAAGTTTCAATAACTAAAGCAAATCAGAACAATCAAGATCCAATTACTCTTATATGAGTGTTGCTCATTTTACGCATGCTCTGATCTTAACTATATCTATTGAATGCCTAATGCGGTGACTCATCGGTTAACAAAGTCTTGTTTCTTGAGGGTTCCCTATACACCAATTTAGAAGTGTAATTTTGAAATTTGTAATAGTTCTTACGTTCTCGTGAATACCTACATCTTTTCTCTACGATTGAGAAGAATAAATCATTTGATCTTTAAGCATATAGAATTTTAGAATTTTGTTTTTGATGTATTTAGTACTACTCATGTGAATTACAAGTTTAAGAACGATTGTTTTCTATCATTAGTTAGATGTATACATCGATATGTAGTTAAGATGTTGTCACTAAATATATACACTAATATACTCTTGTCAGATAAGTTGATAAAGATGTGATACTTGCCCTCAAGTAAGGGGTTTGGAGGTAGAGGAAGTACGCTTTGTGAGATGCCCTATCTTATATAAGCAAAGGAGTAGGATTCTCTCCCCTCATTTTTTCCTTTCCCCTCCTAATTGAACCATTACGGCTTAATCATGTCAACATTTTATATTAATATTTTATAGTAAGAGAAAGACGAAATAAGAGAATGTGAGAAGAGAGGATGAAAGGGGGATGGAAAGAGAAGAGGAGAGAATTCTAGGAGTTGTATTATGAGAGAGAGAGAGAGAGAGAGAGAGAGAGAGAGAGAGAGAGAGAGAAAGAGAAAAATCTCTTTATTAAATTTTGGTACAATTCTCAATTGACTTCGCCGGTACAGACGTTGACAACATTGGATTTTTTTTTTTTGGTGGGTAAAGGACAATATTGGATATTTGTTCATGTCGGCCACACCAAATTGGCATATGCTCTCTCTCTTAAACTTTCGATAGCAAACAACAGTCCACGTCTTCGAACTACAACAACTACAACCCAAATTGCAGTATTGGGCTCGTTCGGATTTCGGAGGCACTGGCAATTCTTCCTTCTTGTATGAATGTACAAAAAGCCTTAGCTTACCAAATCTTTGTAGCACACGATGGGCCAACCCAGGTTGAATTCATTACTGATTGGGTTTATGAACTTGTAATTGTTCGATGGGGCTGACTCGAGTCGGCTCTATTTTTTAGGGTCATGGGTCGGCCCAATAATGAATGCTGGACTTTATTGGGCCATTTTTCAAAATGATTAGGGCATGAACCTTGCATATTAGGGTATGAGTCGGCTCATAAACCGATCCATGACCCAACCTGACGTAGAACAAAATTGGTGTTGTTTTAGGTACGGAAAAATTAAAAGAAGGAGGTGGCATTTAATCAACAAAAGAGACTGGAGAATTGGTAATTCACGGGTTAAAAGGTTATTTGATGCTAGCATATTCTGGAAGTTGATGTTTTGGACTTTTCATGTTGTTCATATTAACGTAACTTTCATTTGGAATGTCTGTTTTTGGTACATTACAAAATGGATTCGAAGAAAATGACGAGATCTACATGACTCATTGCATAGAAGTCAGAATTTGGATGGATTATTTTGTTTACCATGTTTAAAAATTAGATTTTAATATTTTAAGATTTTTTTTTATATTTTGTTGTCTGTCTAATTTCTTTCCTATTTGCAGCCACTTTCGGGATATGCTAATAGCAACTAACCGCCTTTGAGCTTGTGAATTACCAATTCTCCAATCACTTTTGTTGATTACATGAGGCATTCTATTAATTTTCCCGCACCTAAAATAACAACAATTACGTCCTACGTCATAGCCCTAAGGACTATACCCGATTCGGTCCAATAATTTAACAACTAATTAACTAGTGTTGATTTATTTTTCATACTTGCACAATTTAATTCATTCATTTAACCAATTAACTCTTTAGTTCATATGGCAATTGAGTATGAGAACTGTTGGACCAAAATTAACAAAATGTTTTTTATAGTTAAACAAAGACTTGACTTATCACCCACGAGAAGGGTATTTCCCTTGAGCCCAATGAAAATTTAGAAGTTCATAACCCAATCTGTTAAATTATTCACCCCAGCTTGGCCCATCATGTGCCGCAGATATTTGGCAAGCTGGGCTTATTCCAAATTAACATGTCCCATCCATACTAAAATATCAATGCACTACATTTTGTGGTCTCCATTGTTTTCAATTTTTTTTTAATCTCATACGAGAGAATTGATGACTTTTAATGTAAGTCACAATGTAAGCTACGATTTTCATGAACAAGTGCCCAATCAAGCAATAAAAAAGAAAATGATGTAGAACAAATGGTTGGTTGATGATGAGAAAATGGAAAGTCGGAAGATAAAAAGATGCAGTAGGAATTTACAGATTTGGCTTACAAGTTTCGATTTGGGCCCATAATACTTTTCAGAAAGAAAACGATGCCGCAGTTCAAACACACGGCTTCGCTGTGATATTAGTGGGATTTTAATCATTCGAGGTCGTTTCAGCCTCCAAAATGCAATTTTAATTTCTGCAATAAAAATCAGACCACTCGATTTCTGTTCGATTAATGTCGTTTTAATTTCCTAAGCTTTTGATTTGTCCAACAGAGTTGTAAATGACCTATTTAAATCGTTGATGTTATCAGTATAAATCATCATATCAATGAATCAAAACTATTTTGGGATTACCCTCCAAAAATTGGTGGATTCCAGATTATCGGTTCTTCAAGGATTGACGTTAGTAATCCTTTTGCTTCATGTTGAATCAGCAAAAAAAAAAAAAAAAAGTAACAATTTATGCTAGGAATTGGTCGCGTGAAGCACTAGTTCAACACTTATTTCAAACAAAAATCATCGATTAACATCTAGATAAAATAACATCTAGATTAAAGGTCTGTAGCTTGTAATCATATATAACACTAACAAAATGTATAAATCAAGTTGGTAACTTTGGAGCCAAAAATAATTAAGAGGCGACACGTGAATTTTTGAGTAAAAATGACCAAATTACTCTCGAGGCACATCGGAATTCTTACGTGCGAACAGTGGACAATCATCCCTCAATAAAGTCAAAAAGTGCCCAAATAGGTATTTATTTATAACCTATTTTATCCATCCCTCATCATATCTTCTCCACAAGATAACCCCCAAAACATTCCTTATTTATAACCTAATTAATTAATTAGCTAATTAATGGATTTATTACCTAATTAATCTATTAATGACTAATTAAACTACCAATTACACCCAAAAAACACACAAGAGGCCGGTCACATTCTCTCCCAAGGAGGCCGGCCAAGCCTTATATATTCTACCTCATTTTCTCTAAAAAATGAGTTCTTCACTCTTGCTAAACACTCAAAATTCTCCAAACACTTTTCCCTCAAAATTCTAACTTTGGTATCGGAGGTTCTTCGGCTAAAGCCCCCCATTCATCGTGGGTGCGTGAGGCTCTTGGCCTTGACCTAAGGTGTTACTGTTTTGTAGGTGAAATTTTGTCCAAGAACAAGGAAGAAGAAATTTGCATCCACAATAATCACTATTAGGTTTAGTGCTAAACTCAATCCCTACTTGATTGGAGGTGATATTATGTTCAAACATGATTAAAGAAATGACGTTTTGTGTGAGTGTTGCTTACTATTTACTACTAGCAAAGCAAGAAGTATGGCTAAGGATCAAATGGGGGAGTGGGAGGGTGTTGGGTACTACGTCACTTGCTTAGTGGGTTGAACTTTGAAGGAGGATGTATATGCCTTTTCATAATTTGGTGATGTGGTTTGATATGCCCCACTCGGAAGCAACCAGCTGCAATGATGTAATGCTATAGCCGTAGCATTAGGACAATGAACTGGCTGCTAACATCGAGCTTTCTAGAAAAGAGAAACAAAAATTGGAATTGGCATGGTAAACTTCTCCACAGCCAAACATGCATGTATTTGAATTGAGTATAATAATTCTTTAACTGATCCGTTAAACTAGTTAGAACAGTATCATTTTCGTCTGCACCTAAGTTTGAATCTCTCTATTATAATTTAGATAAATTTGTAGAATATCGTGAAAATCAAAGTTTTATCATCAAACCATTAGTTAGTAAACATAAATATAAAATAAACTTTACGAAATTTTGATAGTTATAGGAATGCTGAAATTCGACACCGTTTCTCAAATGGAAGTTTGTAAAGGGAAATGCTGAAACCTGCAAGTAGTGAGTTATTACTCTTCGTTTGTGTACTTCTACGTACGTTTTAACTCTGTCGGCCGGTGTTTATGAGTCTCACTTCGTCTTTTAAAAGTTACTTTGAATCAATTTACCTAAATCATATTTTATAATATTAAGCCTATATATCTATATCTCCTTATTTATAAACTGTAAGGAAAGAAACAATTATACGCGACCTGAC